TCTACAGCTGAGAAAACTGAGATGCAGAGACAAGAGTAAGCTATCTGTGGTCCCACTGCTAGCAAGTGGCAGGATTTGAGCGAGGCTACCCTGCTGTGAAGCCCACACTTCACCTGCTCTCCTCTTATTTCTGGCCTAAAATTGTGGCCTAATTCACATTTTCTGGTATTAGTTACTAAAATCCAGTTCATAACGAATCCAGTGGTTTCGTTGATGCTGAATCACAAACTTACAGGGGCACTTCTACAGTTGCCCTAACATCCCAGGACAGGAGAAATAGATGTAAATGTAACTTGAGCCATCCAGCCAAGGTCCTCAGAGCCCCCACCCCACCCCCCAGCATGAAATTGTCTGTCACTTTCACCACAGGCTGTCTTAAAGTTTGCCTAACAACAAATGGGAGCTTCTAGAATCCAACACAATGGCTTTATGTAAAGAACGCATAGCGAACCATCACACTCTGAGTTGGTAATTCCAGTTTGGCTCAATGTTCATGGAGATGCAAGTATACATAAAAAAGATGATTTTATGGTCACTGTTTAAAAGTTTTTGTCCAAACTGTACTAAAAATGTCTTCTCTTAAGGATATGCTAAATAATACTTTAAAAGTTGCATCAAGCTGAGGTTGTCATTCCGTGCTTTTTGTCTTCTCCCAGGTGCACAGAACCACTTACTCTTGTTCTTTTGTAAGATACAGCCTGCCACTGAGCACTTCCGACACATAAAGACTGCGATTGAAAGGGCTTGGGAATCAAATAGAAAATCAGGTTCAGGAAAACCCAAGGACAAGTGACCTCAAAGCCGCATGGACAACCATGTAAAATAGACTGTGGCGGCCGTTCATTAGTGGGGGGAGGGGAAGCCACCCAGAGCCGTCAATGCTTGTCGCATCTTTTGGTGGAACCAAAGTTTGAGTCTCTGTGTTTTTAAAGGCCAACTGAACCCAGAGCGTTGGGAGTGCTGGTAGCCAACCAGGGAGGGAAATTCATGGATGGTCCCAAGTGAGCTCAGTGTTGCACACGTGGAGAGGGCAGCTCTAAAGATTGTCTGTAACTTTTGAAGAAGTGATTCTTTGTGGAAAGAAAACACACAACCTGCCCTTGGAGTGGGGGTCACGTTTCAACAGCTAGGATGGCATCAGCCGTGTAAACTGCTTTTCATAGCAAACTGGACGGACTTTCACGTGGCCCCTTCCTCTCTGGTACTTTGCCTGCTGTATGAATGAAGATTGTATTCCTCTGGAAATATTTTACAGTTTAATATTGAGTGTAATTAAGAATATAATCATGTTATCAAAAATGGTATTTAACTCTGTTGTAGTTTCTTTAACATTCATGTGGATAAAAAAAAGTCTATAATAAAAAAAAACACTATGAAATAATAGTTGTGTTCATGTAGTCAAATGCATGTTTGCTTGGGGTCAACTAATAGAAACTAATACTTTTTAGAATTATTTTGGCATAAAATATTTGAATAAATTATTTTTGAAAACAGTATTCCTTCCAAAATGATTATTAAAGTCTAGATTAGCCTTTGGCCATTGTTTGCAGCTGGCGTCCTCCCATCACATTAGGACCCTGATTTGGGTAAAGGAATGTTCTAAACTCCTGCTAGGTCTTCCAACATGTTGGCGATGGCGTTCATACTGTGCCTTCCTCCTTACTCTGATGTTGAGTCAAAGTCCATGAGATCAATTTATGCCAAAAATCCTGCCTTTCAGAGAAATAGAAGGGCTCAAATGATGACTCCTTTGAGGCCAGGGTTGTTCAGGTAGTGCTGGCTGCACAGAGTCTACCGTGGATGACCTTCTACGCTGAGGTTGCCAAGGATCATCCTAACCAAAGAGGCATCTCACCGATGGCATCCCTGGACAGATTTCCAAGGAGGTTTAAAATGCATCACTGTGATATTTGATACTTCCCTCCACCATCTTCATTATCATGAATTATCCTAAAAAGCTTCACTATTTATCCTTGAGATAATTATTTTTTTATCCTTAGCTGCCACATTAGAAAATCAAAGGAGGGATACTCAGGGTGATTTTCGTCCTAGCCTGTGAAGAATGGGAAGCCGGTCAGAGAAGGGATGTACACCAAGTCCTGGAGTCTGAGGATGGGTTCCCAGCAACGACTAGCGGGAAATAATCTGAAGAAACTGATACTGATACTGAGGGCAAGATGTTCTCCTTGGAGTGTTCTTCCAGGAGAAGCCTGGATCTAGGTAGGGGGCTCACACAGCCCTTCAGATATGTCACACATTTCTAAGACTGGCAACTGTGCTTTGGGGGGAGGGGGCATGAAGGAGGAAGGGTAACTGGACAGCCATGTTGATGGAGCATTTTCTCCTGTGTACACTTTAAATTTCATATAGGGTTGGAAGTCCAATGTCTTTAGCTTTGTAATTGAAGCCAACAATACCAAAGGTGGCAGAAAATTATCTGGGAGGACACAAACCTGGCTTCATGACCAGCCACCAGGGAACAGCAGAGATCATTTTTTTTGCAGAACCCAATGCAAACTCAGGGACCAGATAGCCTCTCAGAGCAAGAGCAGCAGCTTGGCTAGAGATTTCTGGGGAGAACTAAGAGATCTGCAGATGCATTTAAGGTCTTTGCCCTGCAGCTTCCTCAACTGGCAGTGTAAACAAGCCTGAAATGTCTTTTTTTTTTCTTTCCAATTGCAACTTTAAATGGCTCAGAGTCTATAGTGCCAAGATCAGCAAACGATCTTGTAGCAAAAGGGAAGTGACAACCAGATAACTTGGCAAGTATGTCTGAGAGCCTGGAGTTACTAACCATGGCATAGCTCTGAACTGAGTTCATGGTCAAGTGTGTAGGACCATTGGCCTCTGCTACTGAGAATGCTGAACCCACACTGGTTCCTTCCAATTCTCCATCTACATTCCAGGCTCCGTAGGAGACCCACTGTGCATCTTTCCCTGAGTGCTGGGAGACTCCTGTCGTCCTTATGCTTACAGCCTTAGAGTTTCCCCATCATTTGAGATGTCTTATCAGACTGAATCTATTCCCTAGAAGCACCAGAGCTTAACAGTCCTCCGTGCAACCATGAAATTATACACCAAAACCCAAAAGCATCAGAGATCCATCATGTGGTATGGGAATATCACTTACCCATATATTTTCTCATTAACGAGAGTGACTATATCTTCTCTGTTCTTGCAAAGCTTGATGCTTCTAAGTTGGAACAAAAAGAATTTGTCCCTAAAACTGGATGTGATTGGGTTATCTGAGCTGCATTGTGGAAACAGACAGGACATCCATCTAAAGCACTGCATGGGGCTAAAAATAAAGCCACTCTTCAGAAGGACAAATAATTCTTGGTTGTACAAAATGACAGCAGAAAAACGCTGTGCTCTTTTCTTTGACTATTTTGTCATGTCAAAATTTCAAGGTCAACCCAGCTATTAGCTAATGAAGAATACAGGCAATGCAAACAAAATTCTCCATTTTCATTCCAAATGAAATTATAAGATCAGAAAGGCCCTAGCAATCAAAGCAGAAATCCTACCCTAACCAATAAAGCATTTCCTATAGGGATAGACCAGACATTTCAGACTAATGCTTTTGATCCTTGGAATGCCTTGAGTAATTGCTTATCTCTTTGCCATAGGCAAGGAGAATGGGACATCACATCCCAGTTTCGTTGGCTTGAGCAAGGAACGTAGCCTCAGGTTTGTGGGAAACGGAGGAAGAACTCTCCTAGTTACAGGGGCTACGGTCAAGCAGATAGGACCTCTTTCATGTAAGGCCAAGAGTTAAGACAGCCTTGTCAGCAGGGAGGAAGGCCGGAGAAGAGGAACACCATCTGCGTGCTAAGGAGACACAGCTGTCACTGAATGGGGCACTTTCAGCTGACTTCAAGTCCAGTGAAGAGCTCCTGCCCTAGCCGTGGACTGAAGAGCCCTGGGTTTGATTCCGGTCAAAGGCACATACCTTGGTTGTAGGAGGTCTCCAATCGATGTGTCTCTCTCACATTGATGTTCCTCTCTGTCTCTCCCTCTCTCTTCCACTCTCTCTAAAAAAAAATCAATGGAAAAATATCCTCGGGTGAGGATTAACAAACAGAGGGGGGGAGGGGATCCTTTCTCTCTACAGAGGTGAGCACACAAAGTCCAAGTATGACCATCTTACAAGGTGCCCCATAGATAACTCCCCGCCCCGCCACTCTTTGTATACACTCTCCCATTTGTGGAAAGATGCACACTAAAAATCTTATGGGTGTACGGGATGTTGTTTCATCTCACTGTACATTCCCCAAGTGCTGAGCACAGTCCCTGGCAAGTAATAGGTACACAAACATATTTTGTTGAATGAGTAAATGCATCTCATTTATTTTATTTGAGCCAATCTCAAGAGAAGATCATTTCACTGTGATCACTTTAAACGCTCTCTCAAAGAATGTTGAAGTTTCATTTGGTTTCAATGGGCCGAGGTGAGAGCAGCATGGCTTAGGAACACATGTGGGCATTGGCTGTCGTAGTCAAGAGGGGGCAGCAAGGTAAACTTGAGAGATCAGAGACCCCCAGACTTGGGCCAGTGACCACCACACAGGACTAGGAGAGGAGAGCTAAGGCTTTCCAAACGCAGCTAGACTCTCGTCTTGATCTTGATCGAGGCTCTGAAACAGTGAAGCAGCTTTGGGAGTAGAAATGGAGAGAGGGCTGGTTTTGAAATCAGAAAGTTCCAGAAAACCACTAAGAGAGGAGAATACCTTTCTGCAAATGGCCACTTATTTCCATAGCATGTCTAGTACACCCATAATTGAGAAGTAATAAGCTCAGGTTCATAAAGTAAATAATTACTGTTGAAAAGCCACAACTCTGAACTAAATTCAGAATTTCCCTGAAAGCATTGTTAACGTCTGGAGTTTTCAAATAATAAAATTCATTCTCCTCATCCAACTTTTACATCATCTCCCTATTAAAAACAGTAGCTTCCTGGATCATTGTTAAGGATGGTTTTCTTTATTATATTTTAGACCATTTAGCAAAGTTTATTGATTTATACTTCCTTGTAATTAGTTGTAGTGATTAAAATAACTTTTATGACCCTCTAGAGATTGACTTTTTAAAGAATCACCATTTCCCCCAAATTGTGTGCTTTTAAAACATGGTTAAATACTGTTTGAGTTCAGTACCAAGCCGTCACTGGTGAAACTGTGATTTTATATGCAGTTGCTTTCTCATCCTCTACTTATATGGCACCATCAGCCAATCACTTGGCAGCCAATAATGATAACAGCAGCCAACTTTCACTGAGTGATTACAATAAACCAACGATTGTGCTAAGTGTCTTAATGCATTATTTCTTGTAACAACCCTATGAGGCAGGAACTGTTTAACTATTTAATTGAAACTTGAAGGAGTTAATTCACTCAGTTCCTAAGTGGAAAACTGGGAATTTGAACCTTCGGTCATTGTGACTTCAAACACCTCTGCTTTTACCCACTGAGCGCCACTGCTTACTGCACAGACAAGAGTCCTGTTTTCATTATTGCCACATATATTCTTCAGTCCAACCCCATTGCCTGAAGTAACTTGCATAGGCCTCTCCAAACAAAATGTCCAAACAAATGCTTAACCTCCTATCTGTGTTGCTTTATTGGAGTTCTACACTTATTTATGTCTATATCTAAAGATATAAAAGACATCTTTTTGCTTCCTGCTCAAGGAAAAGTATGGTGGAAGAAAAACATGCAATGTCCAGAAGAAGGAAAGCTATTCCATAATATAACAGGTTTTCAGAGCCCTCATAGCCCCCAAATCCATTCTAACGTCTATAGGCCCACTTCCTAATACACTCTGGTTTCCCTACCCACCCACCCCTCATCTTTCCTGAGTGTATGAGGTTGATTCGACGAAGATTAATAAGGTAATGTTTGTAAAGAGAGATCTTTTCTTTAATAAGCTACATAAATAACAACAGACATAAGAAAGTCCCTTGGGAGCTACTAGTTAATTCTCAGAACTCCTAAGAGGTTTCCTTCCGTTAACCTTAAGCAATAAGGAAAGAAAAAAATCTTGGCAACAACAGATGGGTGTTCCATCTTCCAGAACAGAACTTTTTATCCTTAACTCTCAATAAGCCAAGGCTAATTGACCCTCGTAGCTACTCCAGAACCAAACTGAACTGAGAGAGTATTCTCACATACGCGAAGGCTTAAAAACTAATACTAGAGAAATAAATATGGTATGAGGTTTTGCACCACCATTTTCATCTTGAAAACGTTTGGTGCTACCTCTGGTCTACAAAATAAATCCCAAATCCTTACTTGTTGTCCAAGGCCCTGTATAATTTGGACCAACCTCCATTTGCCA